AACTAGTAGAGCAATCATTAGTTACTCAAAGAATTCTGGATCACACTTCAAGGCATGACCACTTATTTATACAAGAATACAACAATATGAATTCAAACCCAGAATGCACCACTGCTCCTGCAATGCAATTCCAATCAAAGAAAAAGCTAGCAAATTAGCAATACAGTTCACTTGTGAAAGGATAACCAAAGATTAGTTGCTTTGAGAAGTCAATTTCACTGAATTCTTGGGTACTTCCATTGTAACTATTGTGCAACTCTCCCACAGTGATTTTACCCAGTAATCATAGTTCCAGCTCCTTGATCAGTGAGGATCTCGAGTAGTAAGGAGTGCTCAAGTCGTCCATCAATAATACTTGCAGTCCGTACCCCATTAGCCAGAGACCTCAAGCAGCAATTCACTTTCGGGATCATACCACCAGAAATCTTCCCATCATCAATCATCTTCTTCACCCCTTTAATATCGATCTCTTTCACCAAGCTTCCTGGATCATCTCGGTCCTCCAAGATACCAGCCACATCTGTCAAGAGTATCAGCTTTTCTGCTCCCAATGTTGCAGCTAGCTCACCTGCTGCTGTGTCTGCATTAATATTGTAAGATTGCCCAGTCTTGTCAGCTGCAACAGATGCAATCACTGGGATATGATAATTGTCAATGAGAGGCCTCAGCACAGCAGGGTCTACTCTTTCAATCTCGCCAACGAAGCCAAGCTGTGCAGAATTGGGAGAGGGCTGTGCAGTTAGGAGGTGGCCGTCAATACCTGATAGCCCTACTGCAGTTCCCCCTGCCTTGTTGATCAAGGATACAAGGTGTTTATTGACTTTACCGATCAATACCATTGAGACAATTTCCATTGTAGAAGCATCAGTTACACGAAGGCCATTCAAAAAGTTGGGTTTGATCCCCAACCGCCCAAGCCACTGGTTGATTTCAGGACCCCCACCATGGACAAAGACAATACGGAGGCCAACACAAGAGAGGAGGACAAGATCAGCGATAACAGATGCCTGAAGGGCCTCAGATTTCATTGCTGCTCCTCCATATTTTACTATGACTGTCTTACCACGAAATTCCTGAATGAAAGGTAGTGCTTCTGAAAGGATTTTGACTCGGGCTGGTGCAGGAGTGGAAAAGGGCTCAGGTGCTACAATTGACTCCAAGGATGTTTTGAGGCATGAGTTTAGGAAAGGATTGCTGTTGATTTTCCCATTGGCTTTTATGGTTGGGAGAGATACTGGGAAGTGAAGATTAGAATCCCGATATGTTAAGTCTTTGAAGCGCGGGGAAGGAAGAGGAAGGGTTTTAGCGGCCAGCATTGTTTCTACTTCTACTCTCTCTCCCTTGAGTAAATCAAAGGAGATTGCTAAAAATTAAAAATTGCAGCAACGAAGTACACAATCTGCAAAACCAATCACTCAAAGTTATAATTAGATGTGCAAAATCAAAAGAATGAACTTAGTGTGTTAATTAGATACACTAATATTCTACGCACTTGTCTTTACAACGGTTATACTAAATTTCCACTCTGTTGAATTTGGTCATTGAGTAAAAATTTCCTAATTTAGCCATCAACCTATAAGAGTCACATTGTGGTTTACTAGCATCAACAAGGCAACAAGCACAATTGAAAAATCACAAGAGCAACATAGTTTTGAGAAATCCGTCATGAAGATGGTTAAGGACTTGGATATTACAACTGCCCAAGGAATTCTATGGCAACCCTCTTTGGCTCTCTCATATTAAGGCTGTTCAAAAATCTGATATTCAGTCTTGTTTTGTGTTTACAGGGTTCAATAAACTTATAAACCTCCCCCCTCCAGCCCACCACCACAAATCCAAAACTTTCTTGTTCTATCATTTCTTTTTCAATTTCAACTCTCAATGTACAAAACAGTGTAAGAAATGCACATGCCATTAATGGCAACATAACAGAAAAATTTGCATAAATTTGACACAGTCCAATAACTTGACTTAAATCAAATTATCATTACCACTAAGTACCTGAACTATTCAATTCAGATGCTACTCAACAAAATTCAGCTGACACTTGAGAAAGAAAGAAGGAAAGAAGATTCAAGCTTGAGATACTTCATCCGCATTGCATCAAACACATGTCATGCACAAACAATTAAGCAACCTCAATTCACAATCCACTCCCATACACAAACACATAAATTTCCAATTCAACAAACAAATCAACCAAGACTAATTTCCCACAAACACCAAAACATTTCTTGCACTAGTAGCCGCTAGCACGAGAGAACCCATGAACAGAACAAGGCAGACTTGAACAAAAACAGAGAGTTTAGCAGGATTGGCTAAAGAAAACAATGGAGGAGAAAGATTACCAGAATGAAGATCATCAAAGACTAAGCGCTGATTCGATGAAGAAGCCTCCGTGTCTATACATACAAAATTCGCAATACCTACATTTCCTCGTGGAATCAATAATAAGCTTGGAATGTTGATCCACTATGTTTATTCGTCATTTTCATTAAGTTCAAAAAAATAATTGGATTTATAACTGCAACGTGAAATGTTCGGTTTCTGCGGATCTAAAATTCCTATTCCATTGGTATAGTGGTACATATATAAACACTACCCAACAAGTTTGGAATAAGTGTCAAGTTAGATATTGAATTAGAGTATTAGACATGAAAATATAATTATGTAACTAAAATCAAAAAATATATTTCGAACATTTTAAATATTTTACAAATGACTGATTATTACCTAAAATTAATACCGAAGTACTAACAAGTTATTGTCACCTAGAAATGCTTAAAAAGGACTTATAAAATATGTTGATAGTTAATACACGTGGACCTATTACAGACTAAATGGCTACACTCGAGGACCGATCGACTGCGACCGGGGAGCTATGAAGCTAGCCTTTCAATTCTCCAAAAGTCCCCTTCAACATTGACAATTCGGGTATTTATAAGACTTTCGGCGGAGAAAACCCAGCCCGGGCCACCGGCATGCTGTCCACGCGGCCTATACGTGTCAAAAGCTCCCCTTGCTCCTCTGTCAGCACCCAAAGCCGACACGTAGCCTCTCCTAAGTCAACCACGCTTGCAAGGCCATGTAATGGCAGTCGGTCACTACGGGCGGTCGAGAGGGCGATCGGTCAACAGACGCGGTCGGAAAAGAAGAGTGACTTAAAGAAGCGCCTGGGCCAAAGCGTTTGAGGCCACCGAGGAGCTCATTTCGGGCCCACCAGGGCAACGGCCGGTAAGGTCAATCGGGATATATCCTACCACATGTCAAATAAGTGTTTATCAGTATTTTTACGTGATAACATGTCATTTATGACCTATATTTTAACCTTATTCTAAAAAAGGTAAGCTGTCTTAAAAGTTCTTTTTTAAAAAAAAAAAAAAAAAGTTAGACAACAAGATGTCTTGAATAGACCATAATTATAGAAAGTATTTTTAAGCGCGTACCATACTCAAGCTAAGTGCTAGTCATATTGATTTTTCTATGCAAGAGGGAGTTTTGAATTTCTAACCTATTGAGAGTGTACAATCACTGATGCAAACTAAGTTGGTTATCTTGAAAGGTCTTTTTTTTGGATATATCCAAAATTTCTACTGTCGTCTGTCAAACACAGTGACTAATCCCCTTGTTGAATTGTAGGCACCTCTTTTGAGTGGGATAGCTGGTCTGAAGATTTAAGACTACTTCATTTCCAAAGTGAAGTGAAATTGGCCTTATCTTTAATTTGCTTGGACTAATGGAATTGTCATGTGGCGGGCTGTAGGGCTTGTGGGTCATGAGTTTAAAATGTTACCATATAGAGTTTCGCACGTTGTTGGAAGACAATGAGATGCACGGGAGGAAGTGAAAGGAATAGAAAAAGGAGAAATGAGATGCACGTGGTTGGAAGACAACAAATTTGCTTAATATATTTTGGTGAAAATAAAGATTCACAAAATCTTGAATTTATAGTTTCAAGACTTTGGGGGATGGAAGATTTGTAATTAATATATTTGAATTGATGAATAATTTATAGTATCATAATAGGTGATGAGGCTATGTTACTTCAGGACATATTTATTGAGAGTGGAAGAAGGTTAGCACAAATCTTATTGAACTAAGAAGGCATGATGGTCAGGCACAAAAGGAGAGAGAGAATGAGTTCGTCAGAGGAAAACCACCAGCGGCCCGCCGACGGGGTGGCACGCCGAAATCCTCACGACGGGGCGTGGCCGGCGGTGGCGGTGTAAGTCACATCAGACCGGTGACACCCCACTAGCAGGCTAGGTGAAGGAGGTAGCACGCAATAGGCTTAGAGTAAAATATTAAAGCATGTTGCTAGCAAAGATTGATCATGACTCAGTTGGTTATAGCACCCGTTTGATAAGCAGAAGGTCTTGAGTTTGATCATTAGTTTGTTGGCAGCACCCATTTGGGCCACCATGCCTTTCTAACTCAACAAGAGTTTGATCCTTGTTGGCAGCACCTGTTTGGGCCATCATGCATTCCTAATCCAACAAGATGATTTGGGTCAACCTCATTCCTTCACCACTCCCAATAAAATGGACCTCGGGGTCATCAATAGGTATTAGGTGAAGTAAACCTTGCTCAATTAGTCATGTGTACCATCCATTTATTTAACAAGCTTATGAGTGCAAACAAAAACAAAAACAAAAGAACCAAAAAAAAAACAGAAAGATGATATAATTTGCTAATAGGGTAATAGGAGATTCTTAATTTATTTAGACAGCTCCATTTGAGGCTTAGTTGCACTCGTAGGCCTATGCAATCCATTTCCCATGACTATTATTTTGTGGTAGCTCATCAAATTAAATTGGGCTCAATTTGAAGTTTAAACTTTGGACATTATTTGCATAAGTCTTTCCGACCTTACTCAATATTTCAATAACATCATGAACCAGTTCAAGATCTATATTAATTATGGATTCTCATTGAAAGGATTACCATGGCAAAAGAAATGAAGAAAGACAGAGCTGTAAAGTGTAAAATAAATAGCCCACTTGCATTCCCAAGATAAATAAAAATATATGTATATAGTAAATGCTATTTTACAAATACAATCACTTTCAAGACTCCCCAAAATTTCATCAACCCTACAAAGAAATCCCCATATTTACACATAACCCCTGCTAACCTAAACCCAAATACCCAATACCATAATGTTGGACAGTAACTCAAAGAACCAACTCCAGCATCATACTATAGAAACATGACCTTCAAATTTACTAACTATAACTTTTGACGTAATGATAACTGGTAAATGCTAAATGCTGACATGAAAAATCAATCAAAAGAAGTTGACCTTGAAAGACTACTGTGACTAATTGATGATGTGGTGGGAACCCAAATGGAGGCAGTGATCAACGGCCGAGATTTCCAGCACAGGGCAAGCCTGCAGTGTTCATGCTGGACCCAAAAACCTCCATTGAAGAGGCTCACGAGATACTTAGCCTGGCTGACATTGCAAGAACTCATAGGAACTGGCTTGAATCCTTTCAGGGAGTACACCCCTTGACTCCATGTTTGTCTCTCTCTTTTCCCAGATGGGAATTTGCTTACACTGTCCATGATTCTGGGCCCTAGGAACTCTTTTTCTATGACCCTTTGCGCCAATTTATACCCCCCGCAGAACCCTCCCTGCAGAGAATCGGATAGGGAGGTGTAATGGTGGATGGCTTCCCTGAAGAACTCCACGAACGACATGGATGGGGTTCTGGAGATTTTAAAGAGCTCTTCCTCCACCATGATTATCATCTGCGGGTTTCTGAGCCCGTTTAGGAAAATCTTGATTAGTGGGTTCTCTCTGTGTGGCATGTGAAGCTGGTGGATCATTAAATTGGCTATTGGGTGATTACCCAGGCTCTGAATTTGCTCAAGATCTTGTTCTTTGGTTAGAAGAATCTGGTCAAATGCGAAGGAAAGATTAATGGAGTTTGCGAATTCGTGTAGCCTCTTCCCTGTTTGTTGAGTATGAGCCCAGCTTTGGGTCTCTGCAACCATGGCGGTGATTCTGAGAGACGCGTTTTCCCTGTCTGCTAACTCCGCCATTAATGGCGGCCATTGGATCCCTTCCATGATGTCGAAATCGATTATATGAACCTCTTTCTGGTTCTGGGTGGCTTCGAGAATGGCCTGGTTCGCGGTGAAATGCGCGAATTTTATGTAGGGGGAGATTTCTTGAAGCATCTGGAAAGCCGACATTGATCCCTCCTGCCATTTCTGCTCCCCATAATTCATGGTTTTGAAGACCAATCCTTGAGTGAAGTAAAGTGATAGTCTTTCAAGATGCCCAGATTCTTCTTCTTCGCCAGAAAGGTGTAGATTATTGAGCTTGAGGACTATGATTGACGCTAGATCTCTGTTCCCGGCCTGGACCGCCTGGGCTCCCATGAGAAGAAGATCAATCAGGCTGGTTTTGGTTTCCTCCATGAGCCCTTCTTCCTGGATGGTTCTGAGATGGGAGCTGCAATTTTCTGGGGTTAAGAAGCCACAGGCGCCGGCCTCTCCCGTTGGAGTTACTGCCGTTTCTTGCTCCCTGCTGTTCTGGGAAAAGACAGCATCTTCATCGATGAAATCGAGGTCCATGATGTCTGTCTCTAGTTGGAGACATTCTTGAATGTCCACATCGTTGGAGTAGTCGTGGGACTGGTCTTTCCAACGATCTGTCGCCCAATAACCAACTGAGTTATCCGCGCAGACTTCTAACTCATATTCTTGTCCACATTCTGTCACCGGTGAACCAACCGAACTACCCGTGTGGACTTTCAACCCATATTCTTGTCCACAATCTGCCACCCAAAAACCAGAACTACCCATACAGGCTTCTAATAACCCATATTTTTGTTCATAATCTACCACCCAAGAACTAACTGAGCTGTCTGTGCAGACTTCCGAGCCATGTTCTTGAAACTCATGAATGTAGGTTGGAGAAAAGCTAATAACCTCAAAACTCTCAAACTCCATTTTATTTTATATGTATTTGTTGTACTGAATTTGGGTTTTCCCACGTTTGAGGGCAGGGGACCAGAGTTATATAGGGGAGAGTTGCAAAGTTGGTATAGTTTTGCCTGGTAAAACCTCAACAGGGACAAGAATAAAATATTGGGTAATGCCAAAAATAGGAGAATCTTTTGCCTAACATGACGTGTCGATGGGGGGCTTTGAAGCTAAGTACAAAGAAATTAAATTTTATTGGCTCTATTTTGTTGGTTTATGTATATATTTACATGAGTGCTTGTCTTGCAATTGTACTTTGATGTTAGCACTTCCCTTTGTCCTGGTTGGTCACTGTACATAATAATAAGTTTGAGAAATTTTTTCCATATTTTTGGAAATTTTGAAATGAAAAAAAAAAAAAAGAAAAGAAAAAAAGAGTGTATTAGTTGAGAGATAGGTTTTAAATTTGTATCCATTACAAGTTTGAGATTCAAATTCAAAATCTTTTGTCGAGTTTAGTATTAAATTGAAAGATGTGTTCTATCTCAGCTAAAAATTTAATTTGTTGAGATATAGAACATTTTTTAATTGTACTTTAACTTGTTTTTACTAAATTTAATTATATCAACTTTTCTAAGCAACCAAATTCAGTCCAACATTTTTTCAAGTATAGATGGGGGAAGTTTGATTAAATGTTTATATAGTTATGTATATCACTATTTTGAACATTTTAAGTTTGAACCCAAACTTAAAGACTTTGTACTATTCATGTCCTGCAAACTACTGAAACTAGTAGGAAAGGTAATTTAAGGGATCTGCGAATATGTCTGACCTGCAAGCCACCAAATGCTTGTATACTAGTACCGACAACAAGGTCAAATCTATACCTCCTTTTTTTGTCCTTAGTAAGATTCGAACTATATACCCTATGGTTACTACTAAAACAAAGCTTTTGAGTTTATTAAAAATATTGATAAAATTAAATTTAATTAAATTGGTAGTGGGAGATTAAAAGTGAAAATACTAATATAATTGATGAAAAAAATAGCATTTTAAGCCTAATCAAAATGTTCTTACACCATCATTATTCTTGTTATTATCTTAATAATTTTGTTCTTCCTCATTACTCTCAAACTATTGTCCATGTCTCATAAGACTCCAAGCTTAACAACCAAAGAAAAATTAACATTATTTTATACCACATACTTTAAGTCTAGTTTCTAGCTAAACTAATGAGAATGAAGTATTGATTCTTGTCAATTACACACCTCTTAATCAGCTCCAACCTAACAACAGCCTATTTCAAACTCCCATTATATGTAATAATTGCTATTTAAAAAAAAAAAAAAAACTAAAGCAAAATAAAGCCAATTCTAATTAATCATTCATTATAGGTGAATATGTGATTAGTTATATATGCAGTGAAGTACAATTTAATTGATCAATTAATCAAAAATAAGTTTATAAGTTTTGATTTGCTAGAAGCTGCAAGTAAGTAGTTGAAACATTAGTACAAGACTACAAGTACACTTAGTACAAGACTACAAGTACACTTAAAACATTAGTACAAGACTACAAGCTAGTACACTTAGAAATCAATCTTTATTGAAATAGTAATGACTAAATTATTTTACAAATTATAATTAGCTACTTAGAAGTTTACCATTTAATTTGTATTTAAGTGTGTCTTTTTTCTTCAATTTCTTCGATTTAAAGTTTTAAACTTTACACCATTTATGTTTTTTTTTTTAGAAAATCATATATAATTTTTTTAAAAAAGTCACGACTCTAGAATGATGGTATGGTCTGACCCATAGTATGGATTAGGCTAGCCTACGTCTGGGTCAATACTTATGTTGTGGTTCACACGGTTGCAAAGCGATGTCGTTTTGACTAAAAACGCATGTTCCATTTAAAAAAAAAAATTTAGTTTCGATTATCCTCAACAACATTATTGTGGATATATAGTTATAAATTTGTGGATATATAGTTATGAATTTGTGGATATATAGTTATGAATTTATGGATATTTAGTTCATTCATTGTGGATATTTAGTTCATTCATTCTGAGTTTTGTGTTATTCATTCACTATGGATATATAGTTATGAATTTGTGGATATATAATTCAAATTATGCACAAAAAATGTTATTACCGAAAATCGAACCTGATTTTTTTTTTTTTGGTTAAAATAGGACGCACGTTTTTAGTCAAAACGACGTCGTTTTTGCAACCGGTTTGCGAGTCTGGGTACGGTAGCAAATGGGTTGAGTTTGGATTGAGATATGAACTAACCTCTCCGTTTAACACATGCATCTATTGAAAGGTGTAGATATTAAAAAATTTAATGGAGTGCTATACTGGAATCATTTGGAAGATAATTAATTTGGACTTAATTGACCCAAATAATTTAATTTTGGGTTACTTAATTACTTTGCATTATTTGTTAGTTCAGTTTTGTTGAGTAAAACACTTGCTAAAGGAGAAGTAATCATTATTCCGTAAATCATGGTCACCATGAATAAAAGGTATATTTTTAATATATCAAAGGTACATTATTTAAAAGTATATTATTTAAGTACTAAAAATATATTACTTTTTATACTATCAATTTATATTTAGTACACAAAATTAGTATATTAAAAACATTCATAGAAGAATTTTGTTGCTTATATTATTTTTTATTTTTTAAGATAAACATTCTATCAACTTGTACAAAAATAAAAATATATGCCCTCTTTAGTTACAAATATTTTTTTGCTCAAATGGGAAAAACATAATGGATCAAAACCGAATATTCGTATAAAACTCTGCACTTGTACACTTTAGGTGAGCACAAATAGAAAATACTGAATTAAAAAATTATTATAAAATTTAAAAAAATAAAAGGAACGAATCAGAATTTAAAAAATTGAGGTTAAGACAAAGCATGCAACAATTCCAACAAACAAAGTAGTATTAAAAGTGGATTGGTTTAATGTGTTAACAGGATATACTGAGCATATGTTGTGGGGTGACGAGGACGATGATAATTGGACAGGAATTATACATATTATTTTAATTCAGATTTTGCAGGTCTTAAAAGTGGATGGAATCAATCAAAAAGTTATGACGGCATTTTCTGGATTTAATAAGCTCCCAATTGTACTTTAAATTCAGGAAACGCATATGCAAATAATATAATATAATATAGTTTTTAAAAAGAATTTATAGTGTTATTATTCAATGGAATATTTTAATTTTCATTAATGAAAGACTATAAGTGAACGTGATGGATTACCGGTCCATGCAAGTGGGTAGGACACTAGGACTTAATCCATCCAAATCCGTTCAAACCCCCCTTTAATTGTTGTGATTCACGAAGAAAATTCGTGGTCACTATATGAAAATGTATATTGAGATTTTAAATAGTAAAAGATCACAATGAGGTAAATAACTTAAATTATTTATAGTTGATCATCTCAAATAAAAATACTAATAAGTCACTCCTATTAGAGTGTACATTATATAAAATAATATATTTTTAGCACGTGATCAAATAATGTATTTTTTCTAAATACAAAGTATATTTTTAATATACTGAAAGTATATTATTTGATAATATACTTTCAGTACTTAAATAATGTACTTTTTATTTATGATTCAAGCAATAATGACTCTATAGGTGCGAAATGGGCTTAAAAAAAAAAAGTAACGTAAAGGGAGTGAGAGTGTAAAAATTGAACATGTCCTCGGTAAAATTGGGGATTAAGTTTTTTTTTTGGTGGATTTGACCCGTCTAAGACGGGAAAGAACAACAAAATAAACTACCAAGCTCTAATCGAACTGGCCCCAACCGCATCAGCTGCGAGCAGGTGAACTAGAGAGTCAGGGGGGTCCTCCAGTAAGGTGGTACCCCATTCGCCAATTTGCCCGACGTTGGCAAGATGATCAGCACACTTGTTGCCCTCTCTTCGCGTATTTGGAAAATGATCCTGTTAAAGGCCTTTGCAAGAAATTTACAGTCTTTAAGCAGTGCCGAAAATGCTTCTTGAGGTTCCTCAATTGGGGATTAAGTCTGAACATTACCAAGTACACACAAGATTTACGCCTTTAACAGGGTGTTTGGATGGAGGGAATTTAAATTCCCTTCCCACAATTCCCACCTAATTTCAAAAGCCATAAAATTTCTTAGTTTGGTTGGAAGGAATTGCAACCCTATTTTCATGGAATTAAAATCTCATGTCCCCTCTGGGATTTTAGAAAGAAAAAAAGCTAGTGATGAGACGAAATTACCCCTTCATTTTTTTAACTTAAAATTAATACCACAACAACAATAGGCATTTTGGACTTTATACTACTTATTCCCTTTCCATTCCCATGTATACCAAACATTGGAATTGAAATTTTCAGTAATTCTATTCCTGTAAACCAAACACTGAAATTTAAATTCCTACCTTATTCCCAGTAATTCATCTCCCACGGAATTGCAATTCCTTTCCCACATAATTCCCCCTTCCAACCAAACGCCCTGTAAAAGTACATCACACAAATTACAAGTGCATTTTGTTATATATGGTGTGTAATAAATTCCTTTAGTACTTATCCAATAAATAAATAATTATTTAAAATAAATACTAAGAGTTTATCCAAAATGAATCTTGCCATAATCATGTCTATGTTCAAGATCATATAACTACATTTGAATTTACTTATAATTATTAAATTCAAATATAATAAAACTATAATATTGCTAATGGTCTAGTGGTACACTGATACAAAGGGACTCTACCAAATAAGAGGTCATGGGTTTGATCCCTAGTGGGGATAGTATTGACTATTTATGTTTCAGTAAATTGATAAAAATATCCCAAATTTTAATTGATGCACAAATTTAAATAACTTAATTTAAATGCGATCTAATATTATCAGCCAACTTAATTATGTTAAAATTCCTATGCCTACAATGACTTCCACCATCATATTGTTACTCTATTACTTCCTCACTTATAAACAAATATTTAATCCGTAATATTTTATATATTCTTGAAAACTTGTTACTATACCTAAACCCATCATCTTATTTATTAAAATAATGTTAAGGATTGTTTGATTATTAATTAAAAATGGTTGGCAAACTTAAATCAAGCTTAGATCATTTGCTATAGATTAATGAATGCTTGAGTCTTTTATAACCCTACAAATTAAATGAAGGTAAAGGAGAAGCAGGGTTTGTTATAGGGCTTCTAGTCATCCTTGCTAG